GAGAGAAGAAGAGAGAGAGAAAGAGAGAGAGAGAGAGAGTGTGTGTGTGTGTCTTTAAATCTTGCTAGTCATTGTTGGTGGCTGGTTGTATAGAAAGCTAGTGAGTATTTTTATAGGATTATTTAATGCCATAAAACATATTGGTATCATTAGTTACTCTGGATATAACCAAATATAGCGCAGCAGCAAAGGGAAAGTTCAGTAGCAAAGAAGGGAAAAAAAAAAAAAGAAAAAACTTCTAGGATTGAATACTCTTAGATGTGGTTTGTATATAGCCGGTGTAAGGAATGAAGGGCGGATTGAATATGACTGAAATTGAACCCATTATCACATACTCTGTAAAATAGGCGCAAAAGCATGCTGAAGTACAGAGTACATTAATTTTTCGTAGCTTGTGGCCATGCAGACAGCGGTTGTTGACATATGTAGCAACATTCTACCATCGTTGGGTAGGTTGAATAACAGAAGAAAGCTTGCAGGGAAATTAACTGTCTGGTCCATATCAGTCGATGGAACATTCAATCTACCCAAGATCTGGTGTGGTAATTACCAGTATTAAACTAGACGGGCTTGATCATGACGAGGATCCGTTGAAATTTTAACATACCTACTGGATACTATGGTCAAGTTGCGTAGAGGGTAATATAGGGAATTGAAGTAAATGAACCTTCCTGCAATATGAAGCGCCTCAACTACTAGTACAGAGTAGTTTATACCTACATATATACCTAATTTACTACATCCGTACAGAATGTACATTCCTCGGAGGCCACAACAGGAGATAAGCAATTCCCGAATCCGCCTAGTCTACTTTACCGTAAGTAATGAAAATACACGTACCGCGACGAGCGTGTTTCGGATGAGCGCTTTAAGCAGTACAGCGGACGAACGACACGACGAAGACAAGACGAGACAGGCAAGAAGAGTTGGGCAAAGGGGGAAACGGACAGAAAGTGACCAGAGAGGAAAAATACTGGATCGGCCAACAACTATCCATCACCATCATCACCACCACCACCATCTCATCCGCCATCGTCACTCTTTCTTCCTTCCTCTCCTCCTCCTCCTCTTTCCCATCCTTTCCATCTCCATCTCCATCTCTCCGATCCATAACCAATCCGGAATCCCCATCTTCTCTTCCCCCAGCTCCATCCGCCGGCCCAGGCAAATTGATTACACCCACCACTCCTTGGCTGGGCCTGGCTTTTGGCGCATCCTCGCCTCATCGCCTCATCGCTTGACTGGTCTTCTTTTTCGGAAACCGCTGACCCGCTGCGAGGATTTGTCGGTTCACCACCAAGCACAAAGAGCCCTCTTAAGATTCCTGTGCACCCGGTAAGGCAATTTCCCCTTCCACTCCGTCTTCGTCCCTTTCCCTCATTCACCTTCGCAACTATAACACATCAGCGACCACCTACCTTCCTTTCCAACTCACCTCCCGATGCCTGAACACCTCGGATTAATTCTCAAAGCAGGTAGCGCCAAAAGCCTCAACCGGACAGACGCGTGATAGCTTCGCTTTTACATTTCGCAACACTACCTGGCCACTCGCGCATGGCCGGCGGTCGCCCATCGTGACAGTTTATGTTCATCTGACACGATCCTTCCTGCCTTCGTCTCTTCCACTCTTACCGTTGCCATTGTCAAGCGCTCGCCGCCGCGTTTTCGGCACACGCGGCCACCATGACGGGAGCTCCGCCATATAATCCCCAGTCCCCTACCCAGCAGCACCATTATCCTGGTTACTCTCCTCCAAACAAGAGCCGCCCCTTTTATCCCAACAATGACCAGTACCAGCAGCATCCTCCCCAGACGCCTCCTGCATTCCCTCCGCCGACCACCATGTCCCGGAGCCCTCACTATTCACATGCGTCTCCGTTACCGGCGACCCTCCCGCCATTGAACGGGAGTGCACCTCCGCCACATCCTCCGGATCCTTCGTCGCAGTTCCAGGCCCATTCGTCAGCCGGAACTCCCCAGTTTCCTCTTCCCCGGCCCTATTCTGGGTCCGTCTTATCGAGCAACGGCGCATCTCCTTACGGTCCCTCCACTCCGTCCCATGCCCATCCGACTGGCAGGCCCGAGGGCCATTTGCAACTCTCTCCAAACAAAGACACAGAATCATCCTATCTAGGCGGCACTGGTGTTGCTGGGTATCCGTCCTCTATCATGAGAGAACCAAAGCCGGCCTCCCCTCCAAAGGAAGCAGTACGTTTTTTTGTTCATATCGATTACACGTTCTACGCCGGATTAGAGAAGTCCTTTACTGATGTATGACCTTTTGCTGCTGCATGTAGAAGCCTGCCAGGGCTGCAGACCCCATGTCCTTCGCTAGTATTCTCTCAGGGCCGGCCGAAGAGCGCTCTCCTCCTAAACGACAATCCCCCCCACCAGAGACGACACCGGCACCTGTAACGTCAACACCACGAGAAGCAACGCAGCTTAGCCCGCCTCCGCCAGCTCATGTTCCTCCATCGCATCAGAGAGTGAAAGAGCAGGAGCAGGTATTACCCAGGCTGGAGAAAAAGCCGAGCTCGGAGAAACGCCGTCGCAACGCTGAGCAGGACAACAAAGCGCGTGAACCTTTGAGCGGTATTTCAACCAACGGTAGTCTTGAGCCAACCAAGGCGTCTACTCAACCATGGGCTTTCCTCAACCCCCGTAAGGCTCTGTCCGAACGGGAGACGGAAACCATCAACAAACTTATGGTGGAGATTGACAATGCGGAAAAGAGTGATGTGGAAGCCCCTGGGTTCGAAGAAGAGTACGAACAGTACAAATTGCAAAGTAAGAGACGGGCCTTGCATGCCTTGAAAGAGGAGGGCACAAAGCGCAAGGTACGCCGTTATTATTCACGTTTGCATGAAACACTCTACTTACGCAGGATGCAGCGTCGCCGAAATGTGTTCCTGACCAACCTTGGCAAATCTCTTGAGAAGCAGGCCTCTGCGGGAATGGACCGGTTTCGGATTGCCAACGAAGCCTCCGTCATCTCCGAAGTCCAAGCTAAAGAAATTCAGGATGAGAAGGAACGCAAGAAGGACATGCAGAGGAAGCGTCGTCGGGAAAATACGGTACGGTTGGAGATGCAGAAGAAGCTTGAGGCCGAGCGCAAAGCGAATAAGGCTCAGGACTCTGCCGAGAAAGCCAAGTTTTTGCGTGAAGCAGAACGAGCACAAAGGAAAATCAAGACCACCAAGCGAGCCCTGGAAGGTGTCACAGCGCCTGAAGAGATCGGTGAAGTCACACCGCTGGCACCAAACCTCGAAGGTGGCACGACCAGCTCCTTCCACATCGGCCGGAGCTCCCCCTCGAGGCGGAAATCGGGACGTGCAGGTCCTGTTACACGACCCAAGAAATCGAAGGAGCAAAAGCAAGCCGAGAAAGATGCAGCGGAGGCCGCCTATGCTGCCATGGAAAATGATGAGCCACTTCCTCTTGCGCCCAAAGAAGATCCGCGTAAGGAATCTCTCAAGAAGGAAGCTAAAGGCAGCCGCTCCAAGGAGAGTAGCCCTGCACCCCTGTCCGCCTACGAAACAAAAGGCTACAATCAGATTTATGAGCAAATCTGGCGAGATATTGCTCGTAAAGATATTCCCAAGGTCTACCGCATTAAAGCCCTCTCTCTCAGCACCCGCCAGGAGAATTTGCGCAAGACTGCTCAGCTAGCCAGTAAGCAGTCTCGTAAATGGCAGGAACGTACGAATAAGAGTATGAAGGATACCCAAGCCCGGGCCAAGCGGACAATGCGTGAGATGATGTCATTTTGGAAGCGCAACGAGCGTGAAGAGCGTGATCTACGCCGCCTTGCTGAAAGGCAGGAAATTGAGTCGGCCAAGAAAGCAGAAGCAGAGCGCGAAGCCAACCGCCAGAGACGCAAACTCAATTTCCTTATATCCCAAACCGAACTATACTCTCACTTCATTGGCCGCAAAATCAAGGGTGCCGAGGGAGACTCCGGTGAGGGATCGGATGAAACAATTCAATCCGGTAAAGATCAAGAACATGCTGTAGATCTGCCCCCCAGCGCTGCGGATGCTGGCGCTAAGGTGACCAACTTTGAGGACCTCGATTTTGACGCAGAAGATGAATCAGCTCTACGACAGGCAGCAATGGCCAACGCGCAGAATGCCGTTAAGGAGGCTCAAGACCGAGCGCGAGCCTTCAATGACGGACAAGATAATATGGCTGCTTTGGACGAGGGTGAATTGAACTTCCAGAACCCCACGAGTTTGGGTGACATTGAGATTTCGCAACCCTCCATGCTCACGGCGAAACTAAAGGAATATCAGCTGAAGGGTCTCAATTGGCTTGTCAACTTGTATGAACAAGGTATCAACGGTATCTTGGCCGATGAAATGGGTCTGGGAAAGACTATTCAATCTATCTCTGTTATGGCCTACCTCGCCGAAGTTCACAATATCTGGGGCCCATTTTTAGTTATTGCGCCCGCCTCGACCCTACACAATTGGCAGCAGGAAATTACCAAATTTGTTCCTGACATTAAAGTTCTTCCTTACTGGGGTTCAGCAAAAGACCGCAAGATTCTTCGCAAGTTCTGGGACCGCAAGCACATCACCTACACTAAGGAGTCCGAATTCCACGTGCTAGTGACATCCTACCAACTGGTGGTCCTCGATGCGCAGTACTTCCAAAAGGTTAAGTGGCAATATATGATTCTGGATGAAGCCCAGGCAATCAAATCTTCGCAAAGCTCCCGTTGGAAAAACCTCCTAGGGTTCCACTGTCGTAACCGTCTCCTCCTCACTGGTACGCCTATTCAGAATAACATGCAAGAGTTATGGGCTTTGCTCCACTTTATCATGCCCACTTTGTTTGATTCTCACGATGAGTTCAGCGAGTGGTTCTCCAAGGATATCGAGTCTCACGCTCAAAGTAACACCAAGTTGAATGAGGACCAGCTGAAGCGTCTCCATATGATCCTGAAACCCTTCATGCTTCGTCGTGTTAAGAAGCACGTTCAGCAGGAGCTTGGGGACAAGGTTGAGAAAGATGTCTTCTGCGATCTGACCTACCGTCAGCGAGCCTACTACACTAATCTGCGAAACCGCGTTAGCATCATGGATCTTATCGAGAAGGCTGCTATTGGCGATGAGGCCGACAGCACGACGTTGATGAACTTGGTCATGCAGTTCCGGAAGGTTTGTAATCATCCAGACCTGTTTGAACGCGCGGAAACGAAATCGCCCTTCTCTGTCGCACACTTTGCGGAAACGGCCTCCTTCGTCCGAGAAGGCCAAAACGTTGATGTCGGTTACTCGACACGTAACCTGATCGAATATCCTTTGCCACGCCTTCTATGCGGCTCTGACGGCCGTGTTGATGTAGCAGGACCCGGTAATCTACAGGCCGGTTTCCATGGCAAGTACCTGGCTCACTTGATGAACATCTTCGCCCCGGAGAATATCAAACATAGTGCCGCACACGATGGTACCTTCTCTTTCCTACGCTTTGTGGACACTTCCATAAATGAAGCGTACGAGCAGTCCCATCAGGGTATCTTTGAGCGGGCGATTCGCCAGCGCGGTAAATCCAACAGATTGTCTCGGCTCAACGTAGTCTATGATGACGATGAAACAACGATGGCATCCGTCCTTTCCCATACCATGTTCAACATCGTCCAACGTAACGACCAGCATGCTATTAACGATGTCACGACAGAGGGGCACATGCGGGAGCTAACGACCGTGGCGCAGTCCGTCTTTGAGCGTGAAGGTCTGGGCATTATTGAGCCTTGTGTCAGTCCCGCAGCGTCTGCGCCCCCGATTACCGTTTCGTCCTCCAGTCGAGCGCCTTTGAACGAAATGAATGATAGCCTATTCAATGTTTCAGTCCGCCATGCCTTATTCAGCACGCCTTCTAAACAGCTTGAACAACAGATTCTTGAAAGAAAGCTGGACCCTATTCCTTACTCACTTCCGCCGATGTTGCCGCAGCCAATATCCATCAAGGGGCGCTACACACACATTGAAGTGCCATCTATGCGTCGATTCGTTACAGATTCAGGTAAATTAGCCAAGCTGGACGAGCTCTTGCGAGAACTCAAAGCAGGCGGCCACCGTGTGCTACTCTACTTCCAAATGACACGCATGATTGATCTAATGGAAGAATACTTGACCTACCGCAATTATAAGTATTGTCGTCTGGACGGAAGTACGAAATTGGAAGACCGTCGCGACACGGTGGCAGATTTCCAGCAGCGTCCAGAGATCTTCGTCTTCCTTTTGTCTACTCGTGCCGGTGGTCTGGGTATCAACTTGACTGCAGCAGACACGGTTATCTTTTATGATTCGGACTGGAATCCTACCATTGACTCTCAAGCTATGGATCGCGCTCACCGTCTCGGCCAGACGAGACAGGTCACGGTATATCGTTTGATTACTCGCGGCACCATTGAGGAGCGTATTCGCAAGCGAGCTTTGCAGAAGGAGGAAGTGCAGCGTGTCGTCATCTCAGGCGGCGCAGCTGGTGGGGTTGACTTCAATACACGCAACCGCGAGAGCCGAACCAAGGACATTGCCATGTGGCTGGCAGATGATGAACAGGCGGAGCTTATTGAGCAAAAGGAGAAGGAAGCGCTGGATCGAGGCGAAGTGTTTGGCGCCAGTAAAGGCGGGAAGAAAGCTGCTCAGAAGAGAAAGAGAGATATCACGCTGGATGATATGTATCATGAAGGTATGTAGTAGATCTTAGAAAGGCTTTTGGTAAAGTTACTAACCGTGTCAATCTATAGGCGAAGGGAACTTTGACGATGCCAGTGCAAAGCCATCCGGAGCGGCCACTCCTGTGTCGACCGCGGAGAATTTAGGCACCCCATCATCTACGCCAGTTCCTAAGCGAGGACGTGGAAGGGGGACAGGGAAAGGCACGTCTAAAAGAGCCAAAACCACCAAGGAGCGATTACGTCTCATTGATGGTGACGGAGGCTTAGGGCCTAGCTGATTCAGTCTACATGATGCCTCAATAATTGACACGGCTGGTTATGGTCATGGCGTTCCGAGATTGCATTTCCTTCCTTCCCTTATTTTTCCTTTCTTTCGTTTTATTTCCCCTCCCCCCCCCCCCCCTAAAACCCTCTTTTTGATTCTTGTTATCGGACTCTTCTTGTGGGCAGCTTACGTTCTGCCTTGTATTAACAGCATATATTCCTGATTCCTGATGTACGAAGCGCTTTAAGAGACATTGAAGACGAGGGACGAAACCGGTGGTAATCAGCCAATAATAGCACCGAGAGGGAGACGAAAAAGTCCAGTACGAGTGTGTTGGAAATTGATGGCAAGATAGACATGTATTTGTTGTATTCGGGACTTATTCTTGGGCGGTGACGGTTGAGCCGGGTTACCTACTGCTGTGGCCACCTTGCGTCTGTATCTTATTAGGGCAATACTTCCCGTGATTGAAGGTTATCTCGGCGCAGGGCTCGTATCCGTACGCACTGGTACTGTCGTAAAGGCTGAAACGTAATGACCGAGTTAAGTCCGCCCGCCAATCACGGCGGAGGATATGGTAAGCCGAAAAGTCTCGCCGAAGTCCCCGTCTTGCTCTTACTGGAAGCGGCTTAGTCCCCAGCGCCCCCCTCGTCCTCAATCCATCAGCCCAGATTGACTCTTATTTCTCTCTCCCTCTTCGCCGCGGGTGACATATCCCTCTCCTTCTCTCTCTCTCTCTCTCTCTCTCAACATTTCCAACGTCGCTTCCTCTTGTGTATATCGTCAGTCTCGCTATCCATTGAAGCATCACTCATGGAGTCTCTTCTCCAGCAGTCTCGGGCGATGTGCCCGTTCCTCAAGCGCACATCTCCAACTTCTCTGCGTACCCTGGCAACCGCAACTCGGCCTAGCACTAGTTCCGGTGGAGGCACCATGTCTAACCTCCAGGTCATTGCCCGTCGCTGCCCTGTCATGAGCAAGGCTCTGGCCGTGCAGAGCGCTCGCATGGCCGGCACCAAAAGATTTACCTCATGCGCTGCCGGCATTACCGGTCTCGGCAACAAGCATTACCGGTCTCCTACTGGGAAGAGAGCATTGCACTCCACCTCCGGCAACGGCGCCAATGTGAGCGCTGAGATTTACAAGAACACCCAGCGTGATCCTACCGGTTTTTCGAAGATCAAAACCCCTTCCAATGCTACCGCCGCTACCGCTACTTCTGGCCCTCGTCCAGATGCCCCCGTGGCGAAGCCTTTCAACTACAATGCTTTCTACAATGCCGAATTGGAAAAGAAACACAAGGACAAATCATATCGCTATTTTAACAACATCAATCGTCTCGCTCAGGAGTTTCCCCGGGCTCACACTACATCTACCGAGGAACGTGTGACGGTATGGTGCTCGAATGATTATCTCGGTATGGGCCGCAACCCCGAGGTCCTGGCCACCATGCATAAAACGTTGGACACCTATGGAGCTGGTGCGGGAGGTACTCGCAACATCTCAGGTCATAATCAACATGCCGTGGGCCTGGAAAGCACCCTTGCTAAATTGCACGGCAAGGAGGGAGCATTAGTTTTCAGCTCATGCTTCGTGGCCAACGATGCTACCCTCGCAACCTTAGGTAGCAAGATGCCGGACTGCGTTATTCTGTCCGATAGCCTGAACCATGCATCGATGATTCAAGGCATTCGCCATTCAGGTGCCAAGAAAATGGTTTTCAAACATAATGATCTGGTCGACCTTGAGACCAAGTTAGCATCCCTACCTCTTCATGTCCCCAAGATCATTGCATTCGAATCAGTTTATAGCATGTGCGGATCTATTGCGCCAATTGAGAAGATATGTGATCTTGCAGACAAGTACGGTGCCATCACTTTCCTGGATGAAGTCCACGCTGTGGGAATGTACGGGCCTCATGGAGCAGGTGTGGCAGAACACCTTGACTATGACATCTATGCTTCCCAAGATACGACCAACCCGCGCAGTACGAAGGGAACCGTGATGGACCGTATCGATATCATCACCGGTACTCTGGGCAAGGCCTACGGATGTGTCGGGGGCTACATTGCTGGATCCGCTGCGATGATTGACACCATCCGCTCCCTCGCCCCCGGCTTCATCTTCACTACATCCTTGCCTCCCGCTACCATGGCTGGTGCAGACACTGCTATCCAGTACCAGGCTCGTCATCAGGGCGACCGCGTTCTGCAGCAGTTGCACACGCGCGCGGTCAAAGCAGCTTTCAAGGAGTTGGACATTCCTGTGATTCCAAACCCCTCTCATATCATTCCGCTCCTGGTTGGAGATGCCGAGGTTGCTAAGAAGGCCTCGGACAAGCTTCTGGAGGAGCATGGAATTTACGTACAAGCCATTAATTACCCAACCGTGCCTCGGGGTGAAGAGCGTCTCCGTATCACACCCACCCCTGGACACGTCAAGCAGCACCGCGACCACCTGGTGCAAGCCGTCCAAACCGTCTGGAACGAACTGGGCATCAAACGCACCAGCGATTGGGAAGCGCAAGGCGGTTTCGTCGGCGTGGGTGTCGAGAGCGCCGAGGCTGAGAACCAGCCCATTTGGAATGACGTTCAGCTGGGGCTGAAGGAAAACGAAGCCATTGAGGCTGCTGTGGAACGCGAGTTTGCCGAGGCCCCCATTCAGACCGCTACCCGTCCCGCCGCGGCTACCGCTTCAATCCCGGTGGGTGTGGCTGCCTGAAGTGGCTGCCCGCATGTGAGCTGAAATCGACGTGGAATCCTATATACACACACCATGATATAAATTCCACATCCACTCCTTTGCCCCTTGTTTGCCGCAGTGCGCAATATGGCTGGACGTAATTAGTATTTGGACTGTTAGTTAGAACCAGCCTGTCGTTACCGAGTGTCTTGGTTCGAAATGAAATCTGACATGCTGTCTATTCCTCATGCCACTTCATCCCATCCGTAACCTCAGGGCTTCATATACACTGCCCTGTTCTTGTAGTTGATATAGGTAGTCAGCCAAGCTTCGGGGATTTCGTAGTATTAACAAAAAGTACCCTAAACGCAGTGTCGAAGTATCACCTACTCCAATCTATATCCGAATCTCAGGCTACGTCAGGTCGCATCAATTGATTTCAACCTCTAGGTACCCTTAAAGATAACCTAGGATCATGATCCCGGCAAGACATCTAATTACAAGGTTTGAAGTAGAGGCATACATCATACGTATAACTCACAAGATGTCATGTTCCGACTCATGGTCTGGATAGCTACTTTCAAACAGGATGTAAAATCTTTGCTATTTTACGCATTTCTTATCGAGAATTGGTAAGAGTCACCTTTCCACGGATAGATAGATTCATTCACTTTACCAATACGTCACCATACTCTAACCTTCTCCATGTTACCTAAACCCTGGCATTGATCTTGACAGCATAAATTGATACTCAGTTTGTATGTATATTCATTTATATCGTAGGATGCTGGATAGAGACTTCGTGTATCCTTTGATTGATGTCCAAGTCGATATATATCGTTTGCGCATTGACAAGCCACACACCAATCAGATAGATCCAGTGAATAGCTACGCTCCTCGTCATTGAAAAAGGAAGCATGGGTTTGATACCTACTGGATTCGGTCCATTACAATCATAGTATCATAGAGTATACTATATGGGACAGAATCATGGTCGCGCAGATAACATCTGTAGAATCCGCTATCAATATAGTGTTTGGATAGTTCAACTTTGGACAATGGGGCGTGGACATAGGCAGACATATATATATGTATATGTATATAAAAAGAAACAAAAAAGACTTCCGTGTATTCCGCCAACTTACTCATTGATTGAACAAGATCACATTGTTTAGATTAGGGCTGGGTTCGCAGTTGAGTACAATATTTGCTTCCAGAGGGCGTTCATTCTATCGTTTCATTTCTCTATTACTATTTTCATCTTCTTGCTTTACTGATCTAAGGGAGTTTGGATTATGTTAGGGTGCGCATGGCTTTCTACAGGGAAACCATCTACGGGAGGTATACACAAACACCAATCAACTGAAAGAGTAGGTAGAAGAGGCACCTTTGGATAGTTCGTAATTTGATATTTATCCACAAAATAGTATGTACATATAGTACAACCTGAAACCGAACGCCAATCGCATCATGGGAAAGCTCAACGCAAATAGACTCTTTTGTGGTTTGTTCAATAGAAAAAAAAAGAGGCAATGGCCATTAGATTACCTCTTTCCACCACGGCTAACCCTGGGGAACTCAACGGGGACCCTCAATCTAGCCACGCGTCTAGCGTTGGCTTCGGCCTTACCGCCCTTGATACCCCATTTGGCGAATTCCGTTTCGCGTGGCTTGTCGACGCGACAGCCCAACTCGCGGAAATATTGCGTGATGACCGTGTTGTCCAGACGCAGATCGTCGCGCAGGTCGGACGGGTCCGTTGCCAGCTCGTTGGGGGCGTTTCCACCTTGAGAGCTGGAGCCGCCATCCTTGGCTGGCTGAGGTGGAATGTGTAGCGATAGGGCGCATATAGTGGTGTGCAGGAAGGTGATGTCGTTCTTGGTGAGGTGGGAGCTGTGGGGCGAATTTGCGGCGGATGGCGTCGATAACGGGGTCTGGGAGGGTTTCGACCGAGTCGGTTTTGGCACCAGTGGGGGAGGAGAGGATACGGCGAAGTTCATCGCGAGATGGAAGACGTTTGCTACCTGGCCCGGACGATTTGGAGTCCTTGCCCGAGCGGAGGGCGCGGGCAAGCTCGAGGAGGAGGAAGATAAAACGCAGGACTTGAAGCTGGGTGGCATTGGTTGAGTTGACGACTGCCTCCACCCGGCGAGACACATATCGTGAGGTGGTAGCCACGGCTTCTCCGGATTTCACGGTCTCCTGCCATTCGTTCACGCCCGGGAGCTGCTGGAGGGTGGACAGACCCCCTGGGACAAGCACATCTATCGGGTACACATCGGAAGGATGAGATGCTGCCAGACTGGCTTGAGGCAATGGTTTGTTGGCTTGAACCTGAGCCTGCACCGCAGCGGTCTTCGTAGCAATGTCGGTGGCGGAGTCGAGGGGCATGGACGAAAGAATAGCAGATTCTGCGGCGGAGGCAGCACCAGCAGGGGCATTGGACAGTTGGGCATTTTCGGCCATGGACTGCGCTGCCTTGCGAGATTGCTTGGTACCGAATGTATTGGTGAGTTCTGTGCGTTGGGCGCGCATCGTTTTCTGTTGGAATCTGTCAATAATCTATGCCCCGACGGTCATAGAGATAAGAACTTACCATCTCCTCGTTTTCACTCTCAATCTCCTCCTCCTCTTCATCTACAGCAGCCTTTGTTCTCCTCGCCGCTCCACGAAGAGTCACCTTCCGCACCTCAACAAATTGCCAGCTTTTCTTTTCGGGATCCACAACGGCGATGTAATGCTTCAGCTGTGAATCGGCGTCATCTTCGGCCTCGCGGCCCACGAAATCCATCTTAGGATGTTCCGAAGTCTGTAGAAGTAGTTCAGACGAGACAATGCCCTTGTTCCGTGTGGAGCGACCTGAATGAGAGCCATCTGCTCGGTCCCTGAGGTATGGTTTCAAATGAAGGTTTTGGGGCACGTTCACACCAGGGGTAGTTACTATAGCGGTGATTAATTTTCTGTACACCCTGATTGAGAGGGTAGTGCAGCAGCTGAAGAGCACATACTGATCACTGGAGCCAATTCACTATCGTCGCTGACCACGCTGGCCGCGAGAGGAGGCAGATCTTGAAATTCGAGAGCGGGCTTCTTACTCGGCCGTTCGTGGCCGTTCGAAGCGCGCTTGCGCTTCTTTTCTACCTTGTCAGAAGGCATGGCGATGTACTCAAAATTAAGCCTGCAGGGGGGCGAATAAAGTCAACTTTGCGTGGAGAACAGCTTCGTAAGACAATCAAATATAGATCAAGAAGCTCAAATAAAAAAAATTGCTGGGCGGGAACTAGGGGCAGAATGGGTCTCCGCACTCAAGGCGGAGAAGAAAGCATTGGATGATATCAAACGCACAAATCCACTGATAAAGTGGGATTTACATATCAAGAATTTACTGAGGATGAATCGCAAGAGAGCTACGCGAACACTTCATTTTCAAGATTCCAGGTGGCTTTGTGTCATTGCTTTCATTGCAAACTTTTTAATTTGTAATAAATTCTCGAGGACCTCTCCATGGCTCAGGGCTTGAACAGCAACTGTAGGCTACAGCACAAGCTCTAAGAAGAGCAATTGACCAGATCCCATAAGGAACCCAAAGGGTCAGTGGAGTAAAAACAAATAGTACATGAGAAACGTGACCATCAACTTCTTCCACGACCCCTCCAACCCCCACCAAACACATTCGCCCTCCGAGACGAAGGATACGCAGTGCGCATCCCTGTCTGGTCATCATTCGAAACCTTTAAATGAGCCCGAGAGATTGGATGTATGTTTTCGTTGAATGACGGACTCCAGATTCGAAAGGATATAGAGGATAGCAGACCAGCCAGGTCCCGTTAGAGTGGCTAAACCACGAAACGATCATAACAGGGAATCATCATCATGACGTCGTCGACTTTTGTCATGTTCAGCATTCAACTTGAGCACCGCATGGGGAACTGAGATGGATTGGGCGAGTCATTTATTTGCTGCGCACGTTGTTAGTCCAATTGTCCGGTAGGTCTAATCTCTTAGTTCGGAGATAACTCACCTGCGAGCACGCATCTTTCTGCGCTTACGCTTCAAACGACGAACGCGCTTCTTTCTCCACTTAGCTCTCATCTTCGTAGAGTGTTCGAGACTGTGAAGCGTTAGTTGATGTTCAAGGAAAGAGGCAACCAGGTGCCAGCCCGGGCTGTATACTCACACTTCTGCGAGGATGAGGAGATGGTTGAAAGAAAGACGGAGAGCAGCGGCCGGCCGAGCTTCTTGTGTGCGTCGTGGCTGACTCAGCATCCTGAGACGCTAAGGGTTCGCTAGTGCTGTCCCACCGTTGATTGGCTGGCCATCGGCTTACCGAGAGGGCATTATGTCATCTATCTATGGAATTTCATTTTCTCTCTGTTGCATATCCACTTTCAAATGTGATCAGTGGTTGTAAAAATATGAAAATTTTTCATTGTTCTTCAAAGAGAACAGAAGAAGATCACATATTTACCATCACCCACGCTTCTCTGTTATTTAGGTGCCTGACGTAGCCTTGCATCGATCCTGCCAATCGCTAAGAGCCATCTCAACATCTCTTTAGTATATTCAACTACTACCAAAGGACAACACTAATAGCTATAGCGATAGTTTAACGCCATATCGCCCAGTATCTCTTGTTCTTCGTCACTGTGTGTAGCCGTGCCATCGGCTATAGCCTGATCGCGGCGTCGATTGTCATACCAGACGGCTGCAAAGTAGCCTATGCAACAGGCCGCCGAAAAGCTAAGGAATGACACGCTGATGATATATCCTGGCCGGTATTCTGGTGCATCTTTTTTCAAGAAGGCATACGTCGATATGATACCACCAACTGCCGCCATGTTAGCTACGATGAACGAGATGAAGTCTCCCAGGTTCACTTACTATTTCCAAATCCAATTTGCCAAGCCGTTCCCACACTTCGCCTACGATGGCCTGATAGGTTCATCGCGAACCAGCAAACAATGACCGGCATTGCACTGTAACATCCACATGTAACCATGAACAAGGCGCCGTATTGAACATTTCGATAGGCCTGCCCGTGTACATTCAACAGGATTCCAAAGCCAGCCATGGCAATTAGCATGGGTACTATAGTAAAGGCAAAGCGATGTCTAGTTTTGTCCGAGAGAATGGCCACCAACATGGAAAATCCCCAAGCGGCTGCCCATGGTGGGATCGAATACAACTGAGTCTTGATTGCTAGAAACAAGGCTTAGTAGATTGCAAGGTGCACATAAATAGCAGGCAGACGTACCATCATAGCCATAACTTTTGATAATGGTTGGCGCGAAGTAGGCATATCCTGCGCATTGTTAGCAACCGTGCTCCTCATCAGTTGAAATACACGTTAGAAGCATATGTATCCGCCCTACCATATGCTGTGACAACCTGTCCGAAGTACATCAAACCACCGATGAATATCTTATCTGGAATACACGTTGAGCACCTCGAAGATTTTGGCATGCTCATAATGTCACTCACAGTCTTTGAAGACCTCCAATACTTCGCGCCAACCTATTTTAGCATCATGGCCGGCGCTCCCCGAGTCTCTGGCTAGTTTTGCCCGGATGAATTCGCGCTCTTCATCGGTGAGCCATTTGACCTCTTCGGGGAAGTCAGGGATAACAAAGAACCAGGCAAGCGAGACGACACAAGTAATCAGGCCTTCAACGATAAAGACCCAGCGCCAGCCTCGGTAGCCACGGATTCCATCCATCTTTCCAAGCCCGCTAGCCAGCAAGCCACCGAAGGCACCCGCAAGTGTGGTCGAACTAAAGAAGAAACTGAACCTCTTCTGTGCCTCACTCCGTTTGTACCACATTCCCAAGAGATAGAAACCTGCATACGACTGTTGGTCATCGTTATATCGAGGTGGAAATACGGAAATGACAGAACGTACAACCAGGGAACATGCCTGTCTCAAACATTCCTGAATAGGAGTTGTCAGGTGAGAAGTGTTATACTGACCAGAGGGTTGTCGACTCACCCAAAAACCACCGAGTCGTCATCAACCCGCCCCAATTAGAGACTAGGCCTTGACAGATCGTAACCAGACCGAATAAAAACATACATCCCGTCACTAAAGTAGCCATCAGCATTTCAGTCCATACCTCCTATCTACGGTATACCAAGAATACCTACACCATACATGGGGTCTCAGCTTCTTAAGCAAGATATTGGATGGGATTTCGAAAATGACATATGGAACGAAGAATATGGTCAGTGCAGTATTGTATTTTGTCCCGTCGACTATATTCAAGTCTTCCTGTAGACCGAGGACTGCCGCGTTGCTGATGTTCACGCTATTCGCAAAGGTTAAAGTAAGGTAGCTATGCAGTTGTGTTCATAGGGGAAGCCATCAGGCTCATACCGATCCAAGAATGCGAGCAGATACATAACACACAAACAAGGCATAAGGTGCCAATCTATTTTAGCCATAAGCTTGCGCTCCGTGGTATTCCTCAGCTGGGGAAGATCGGTCGGTTGCGCATCGACATGACCTTCGATCTTGTCCTCTTGTGGGGTGAGTTGCTCTGGTCGCGCGATTTGTAAGTCAGCATCATGATCATGGTAAGGTAAGCAGCTTTGCTCTCCATACCATTGAACCCCATGATCTATGTCTTTCAAGTACTCTTGAGTAACTGCTTATTGTGAATCCTTCTTCCTGGCCGGTTTCCCCAGGGAAGGATAGATAGAATACCGTTGTTCTCGCTTACCGCCGGGGGATAGAGCGGGCTGGCAAATGTGAACAAAGGGATACTCCTAGTATACAGTGACCTGTTGAAGTGCAGGAGAAAGGATTGAGAATATAAGCCACACATAATAGGAAAGAAACAAAAAGATGAAAGGGAAGGAGATTGAGAAAGTTTTGGCCAAGTCATTCGGTCCTGGTCATATCCGATAGACTAATCAAAGCCGGTCGATGCATATTTACTGCTCTTGTGCTCGGAAGGATTGTGAGTACGAGTCACTCGGTGGTCATGAGTACTACCTAACTACTACTACTACTAGTACTACTACCTTGAAAGCTCGAGTAAGCATGGCCAATTGAGATTGGCTGGATAAGTTCCTTGCATCCGGGGAGCTTAACTCTTCCATCTATGCCATGAGATCTATTACTAGGCCGAGCCACTTTGCGACCCCCGATCTCGGCCTGGATCGAATATGCATGTCAACCACATGGTACGAAATAATCTAAGATTTTCCTTCTTTCTTCCTCGATGGTATACGTTTTCATCCCTGAGACTACTGGAGATCGAGAAACCAACCCCAATATCACCCCCCATTGCCCTACTAAAGACACTAGACCCAAAGCTGCTTTCCCCGCAATTTAAAGGTCCGCTGGAGATAATTACATAAGCGACCTCCCCCACGCCAGTGAACTAACTAGCATCAGTAATCAAGGGGACTAGAACATCGGTGGAGTGAGTGTTCGGCATTTATAGGCATTATACGGAGTAGAGACTAAAATATTAACTAGGTATACTCCGCAGTAATCCGTATGTTACCGATGGAAAGTCTAAATGCTACTGTGGCCTTTGTTGCCCAGTGTTTAGTTTAAACTCTCGCGGCTGTAATTCCGCCATCCTGTTACTACCCGTACATATAGAGAGGAATTGCCTTACTTTCCTTGGCGATGGTATTGTCTGCTTCAGCTCACACTAAGTCTGTAGTTTGAGGGGATGTTCCCCCCCCCCCGCCTCCCCCCAACAATAGAGTCATATATTAGTCATTTGTATACTTAGCATGCCTATTCTACCATAACGTGGGTGCCACTGAAGTTAATAGGGACATCTCTAAAAACCATTCCCGGGGGTGAACACCACCGCCATAGAAAGCATAGCTTTCATGGAAATGCATGGAATATCATACAAGAACTACATCCACTCGGCATTATCCCAGACTGAGAAGGAGCACTCCGGATTGATAATGCCCGCCGCTATCGGAAAGAAAACTGCCTGCCTGGTTACGTAGCAGTCGATGGCTGCTCTTCCATTGCCTTTCCCCACGCCTTCTCAAATGCTGAATTCGCACCGGGCCCTGCGGTCGACGGCTGTTGAATCTGACTGCGGTCAAGTTCGTCATAATCCTCCTTCTCGATCACCACCGTGTCGGAACCGGGTGTCTCCTCTCCTGGAGACTCCATCTTCGTCCCGGACCCAACCAGCTCGAAATCAAAGTTAGAGCTATAAACCACAGCTGCGAAAGCTTCTAACTCTCGCACGCCTTGGTCCATCGCAGTTAGGTAAAGGTTTGGTGGGTTTGTACCATTACCAATCACATGTGCCTGCCGGGCTAAAACCGCCAAAACGTTGGCTAACTTTGCCTTTGGCTCAGAGCTATTAGCTCCCGGGACAACCGTGGCAACCGAAGTAAATGATTGGGGAACACTCCGTGAAGTTTGGGACGCCGACTTGAAGGCATCGGCGGTGCATTGCTGGATCAATGTCTGGAAGCATTCGTTATTTAAAAGCATTAAGACACGCGTAAAAGTTGGTGATTCGATCAGGTCGGCCGTCTCATCTAGTAGGTGTCGCAACGTAGTTGCAGTCTGGGAGTTGGCGAGCTCCGTCACTCCAAGGACACCGGACTCCTCTAGTAATTTATCCTCCTCTTCGCAAGGGGGGAGCAGATAAGACAGCCACTTCCTGTGTCTACAACAACGGTTAGCAAAAGTTCGGTTGGCTTTGGGTTGGGGAAGGAACGTGCTTTCTCTCCTCCTCAGTATGTCCCTCCACTCTCTTTCGGACCTCCAGGAATAGCTCAGACAACCTGGCCAACGAGACATCCTCCCGAGGGTTCAGGGGGCCAAAGACCTCTGTAACGGCAGTCTGTACCTCGTTCATCAACTGCTTCCAGCCTCGGTGAAGCAACCACCAACTAAAGGCAAGATATCGACGGTTGGTCTCAAAATCATTTCCTAAAGTCTGTGTGAGGTCATCATCGTCATGGTCCTCTAGTCTGATCGTCGAATCGTTGGCAGGGGGTGTCGCCATAGAGATTACGCTGGAAAGATAGTTCCGACGGCCGAGAAGGTTAAGTTGGATTCGCGTAAAGATTGTCAAAAGAGAAAGGGTATAGACTAGAGTGAAGGACCTGGTAATAGCTGTGACAAGCCAATGAGTTCCAAGTTCCGGGCGATAATGTGATTTGGGATGATGGCTTACAAGTGATTTTGACCTCGTTCCAAAGCTGTGTCTTATTCCGTTTCGGTCGCGCCTCGCCCTCGCCCTCAACGGAAGGTTCTCCCGTTTGGCTTGTGCGGACGAATCCATCACTCTGAAAGCTGGATAGGCTCCGACGGTCATCCTCCGGTAAGCTGGGGGATACAGAGCTTAGATCTGATCCGGTCCCTTCCCCGACGCTGAGCCGAGCTAACCTCTCTGCTCGCTTTCGTTGGAGCTCCTTCGTCAATTCCTCGACAGGAAGAGCGTCGACAATATCTTCTGCAGCAGTCGGTAAGAGAGCGAGAACGGTATAGGTGCAATCGGTTTGGTTTTGTTCGAAACGTCGCCGTAAACTGAAGATTGTAACATTCGAGCATGATACGTCAACTACCGTCTCCGAGCACACGAGCACACCCGACAAGCAAAGGGAGGTTACTCACTTCTCCCGAGCGATCCGGTCACTGCTCATACGTTCCCGTGCTTCTGAAATTTTGGAGAGCACATATTGTCCTGCGAGGTAACCGGCTCCGATCACGCCAGCCCCGATCGCGAGACCCTTGCGATTGCGCCGGAACCAGCGCCTAGTAGCACCGATCATGGTGGAGCGGTCGGAGGTAAGCGGATAATCTCTCTCAAGGATATAAGTCAATTCAGCTCATCATAAGGTATGAAGAGGTAAATAGCAAAGCAGGGGCAAGTTAATGTTGGAGAATATAAAAGGGGAGAGGAGGCGAAGAAGGACCGATCATCAATGACAACAACCGAGAGAGACGGTCGGGGAATGATAAAAGCATGGTCAACTGTCTGGCGCGGCCTCGGCTAAAGTTCGATAGCAACGTGAAATCATGGGGTGGTACAATGATAGGTTGTCGGGGACGTATTAAACTGGAGAAGAGTCTTGTTTTTCTTTGGATACCGCGTCAATATAATATGATACATATGAATGAATAAAATTATATAATCTATTATTTGGGAGGAACTTCATTTACTTTGATTGTATTCTCTGCCTTTTCTTGCAGACAAGTTCATTGTAGGTAGGGTCAACTTGACTCAGTAACGCTCAGGTACTCCAAAAGAGTTAAGGCACCGTTATCTTCCCGTCACTATCGGCGAGGGGCAACTCCTCCGCCGGAATGGTCACCGTCTCACTCCTGATCCACTGGTTCATTCTCTTCAACTCTTCTTCTGTCTACATACTCATATCCTACTCCTCGGCTGGTTGACGCACCTGAAATACCCCTAGAGAACCATGCATCCTCCGTGAACATCACAGTCAAGTATTTCATACAGCCCATGCCAATCTAGATAGCAACTCTTTACGTCCTTACGCCATCCGCATCCGACATCATCTTCTCCGCGCCACTCCTCGACTGCTCGAATCCCGGTGAGAAAGTGGTGACATCGCTCTGTGTTCACGGCCCAGCTCGCTGCGGTAGCTGGGTCGTCATCGGATACTCGCTATCATCAACGCATAGGGCAGCAAAAGGAGTACGGGATCCCCACCGTTCGTTTCAGATCCATCTCTCGCATCTCCAACACGAACGCGTTACGTTATGGAGCCCCGCAAAACCCCTCCGGAGTACTTCCTGGAGATCTTTGCAGACACCACCACCGTCCGGGACGTCTTAAAAGGTATATTAATTTCATTTGAGCATTTCTTGGATCTATCTTGTTGTTCGTTAATAACTCTTCTTGATATATGCGACTGACACCCCTTCTTCTCCTTCAGGTGTTCTCAACCTAATCTTCTTTCACCGTTACTTTCCCTCTATCCGACCGACTACCTTTGATGTCCTAGACTTTACTCTCCCCGCTATCAACGATGAAGATCTTGAGACGCTTATTGAGTCGCGCATCAGCGCCCTAGTCCGTCAGCACTCCTCGTCCGCTGCTAGCGCCCATGAAGGGGGCGGCGGTGTGCGCGGTCGGATCGCAGTAGAATTTTACGAGAAGAAGCGTAGGCGCTCCGGAATCTGGTTCGGCGGACTTGCTGGAAAAGGCGAGGAAGAGGTATGTTGGGAGGTGTGGAATCTGGATGTGACAATTGCCACTCCGCGGACAGAATCAGGTATGCATTTGCCACCTTAAAATCGGCCCATACATGCGCTCTGCAACTTGTACGAATGCATGTCAGTGCTAACTGCTCATACAGAACGCGCCAAGGTGCGCAAGGCAATGGAGAATATGCTTCAAAAAGCAGCCCTGAAGATTCTCGCCGTAGTGAACCGAGAAAAGGATCATATTCCGCCCATCACGACAAGTGATTCCAACCCATTCCCTTACAGGATTGTCCTAAACCCTCGGTCAGATGGCTGGCAGAATCGGTTTGGACTATACTGATACGAGAAACCATTACATCTGTAAGGTTTCGCTGGGTCACAATGCCCGCTCTCTTCTTTTTTCTTTCTTTTTTTCTCTCTTCTCAAAGCTACAAGCCGCTTGCATCCGTATCTGTACATCTGGAGTTGTGGAGTAACGGCTCGGTGCTAATTCAATGCCCCGACACTGGGAGTTTTCTGCAGCCTGTCTTCCCGTGTATTATTACGTTCCACTGGCTCATCGGGTTACTGGTCGAGATTCAACAAGCACAGATGCTAACATATCTTGCGGGGAAGAACCCAGTGTTGAAACAAATATAAATGGTGCTTTAGATTAACAAAGTGGCATCATCGCATCAAATACAACTATACCCGCATTCGTGGAAAGACGACGTGGTCCCCCCGTCTCACCTACTACGCAAAACAAAGCAAGCAATTCTACTAATCATGACAAAATACCAAGACAGCTAGAATGACCCAAAACCGTCTGACTCATGTCGAAGTGCCTTCTCACCTGACACTTTTCCTCGCCAGCGAATCTTCACTGGTTTCGTTATTTTCAAGTACCAAAACACCGAGGCCGACCTGGCTCATGGCAACGCAGAACACGCCGCGAATGCCGTATCACCTTGTACGGTCTGTTTACTGGGCCTTGGTAGCAGCATCAGCCTGGGCGCGGAGGTTGGCCGAGGTGTTTCCGCCAGCGAAGAAGCGGCCAAAGACAGGCTGGATGAAAGAGTGGAAGACGACTTGGGCACCGCTGGAAACTGGGTCAGCCCATATTCATAATCATGTTCATACAAGAAAATAATGAGGAGGCTTACTTGGTCTGGGGGAGAGCCATCCAGAGAACGAGGCCGAACTTGAAGATGTAGTAGAAGGCTAGGTAAATTGAAGATCAGCACATTGTTCCCAACAGTTGCGAAAGCCACCGTAATCGAAGAACAAAAAGGCACTACTTACGGAACCAGTAAGGAGCATAGACAGCACTCTCAATGACGGCGAAGAAGGCGTAAACAACCCAGTACTATCAGATTCACATGTCAATCAGTCACACTGATTCATAGAAGGAAACCCGTCACGTGCTCGGGACACGGCCTAGGTGCAAAGCGGTATAGATCAGAGGGAAAACAAGATCACAAGAACATACCGTCAACCACTACAGGAATCACGAAAGAGTCAGTATATTAGATCAGCGTCTAAGGTCGGGTGAGGAGTAAAATGTACCTGTGTGTCATCGGCCTTGCCAGCGGTGAACAATGCGTTGAGAGAGTAGTAGCCAGGGATGATGAAGCCAGCCAGGTTAACAAGGAATTCACCGGCGATGTTGAAGAAAACCAGGAAGGTGTAAACACCGACCAGACCCAGGATCACGTAGACCTTGGGGACGGAGGTCTGACGCTCAAGGTTGTTGAGGACAGGGTACTTGGAGAGCTGTGGAAAAACACACAAGAAATGTTTTGATTAGCCTTTCCTCGATCCAAATACAAAAAAAATAAAAATAAAAATAAAATAAAATAGGAAAACCATCAGCGGTCAATTCCCGCCAGTTCCACCAGATAAATTTAGTCAAAGAAGTCGGAAGCCAGGTTATCAACACAAAATCGTCGTTGACTCCGGACACAAGCAATCAATGCCGACGCATTTCTCTCATACGAATATCAACACGCACAAACAAGGACTCACCTCCTTGTCAAGCTGAGCAATAGCGTGCTGAGCACGATCCTGGAAGGTAGCCATTTTTGCTTGGGTTGAAAGAGTTGGACTGGTTCGTCGATTGAGGCTTACTCTCGGGGTGGGATGGAGGCTGACGGAAAGGTAGAAGAAGAGAAAAGACGGGTCGTCGTTATCAAGCTGAGGAAGTGAGACTTCGAGAGGACGATCTGGCGGTTACGGAGCGCAATGACCGCCATGACGACGGTGCGGTGTGTCACGTGATTGGTCATGACGTCGAGAAAACTGGAGGAGCTCTTCCGATACACGAATGACGTGACCAGGCTAAGCCACTAGGGTTTCATCTTTGCTCGTCGATTTGAGCAATAGTGCACATGTAAGTTCTGCTAATGCCAGAGACCGCATATTTGCACCTGCATCGTAGACGGTTTCTCAGAAACAATCTTCTCATCGCGTTAGTGATACACCTCGGTACTGTTACTGTACCTGTATTGTCATGTCACACTGTACATCTGCGATGACTAATACCGACAGCCTCAGGCTGTTGCCTTGAGCGCGAGATAAGCATTACAAAAAGCCCTAACGGAGTCGTAAACACGTAGTAGAATGTTCCAGTTACTACTCCATATAACTTTGAACTACTGCTGTGCCCTCCTAGTGCCGTTCTTCATCTGCACTGATTTATGGGTGAAACGTATACACAACCTTTTCAGGATGGAAGCGTACACCCATGGCCGAGCATATCTCAAGGAACTTAAAATCTCCTACATTCATCGAGCGTAAACTCAAACTCTTGGGAAGCGACACCCACACCCGGAAAGACAAGGTGGTCACTGTATCTGTATCGCTAACTTCACAAAGACAAAGTCCACCCCGACGCTCCTGTAAATGCCATCTACCGACCATTCCAGTCACACACGACTGGCTAAAGGGTCCATTTCCTCGCGAGGATCGCTGTGTGAGAACTCGGAATAACGACACGGGAAGGAATCCGCCTCTCAGTCAACAGCCCCGTAGGAAACAAATGAATGCTAACATCGGTCGACTCCGCCAGGCCGCAAGCTGCCATAGCCACGTCTGACACATTGTGTGAGTCAATGAGCTATTGCGCAACTTTCCGGCCTAGGCCGTCGTGTGATTTTAGTTGAACTCGCTCATCAGAGGGAGTAAAGTTCCCCCGAACTGTTTCCGTGCGTCTTTAGCTTAGCTACTTATTCAGGGCAGTAGCAATAGTTGCTACAATGATGCCAGTTTCCACCGTGGGGACACCGTGAGAATGGACGAGTACAGACCTATCGGCCCAAGGTTGGTGTAGAGATCAATCACGCGGCGCTCTGTAAGTGAGTATTCTCCTAAGCCACACCATATGAATAAGCTAGGAATGAAGTATGAGAGGTAGATTTCAGCGGTTTCTGTGTCAAAAATAGAGGGAAATGGGTGTTGTTTAAACTCGTACGACCAACGGCGGCTATATCCTTACTTTCGGACGAACAGATGCGACCGCCACTTACAAGTGATCGGTTTGCGTTGTACTGATGAACCAGATGACCACAGCGAGCACTTCTAGTGCTTCCTTGCGCCGATCTGATGTCGGCAGTATTGGGTGTTGCTTAGATACGTACGGTTTCTGTTACATGGATCCAATGATGAACCGCAAGGCAGGATATCGGTCACTGACAGCTGAGAAAACCTATTACACACAAGTTTAGATGTCCCCAATACGAGTCCCTAAATGTATCAATAGGATCGTTAGCTATGGGGAACCAGGGAAACTCATGGCATCAGGCTTTAACGTACATTACCTAGAGATTCCAAACAATTGGCTTGATCCTCTGTAATTTTCACTTTCTCTCAGCGCGCGTAGTAGTCAATGAGACCTCCCATCTCTGGTGCGTTACACTGACGATTGTTGGCTGCTCCTCACAGCTCAGGAACGTACTTAAGGACAGACCGGTGGAAGTGCACGTTGTCTTTTTCAATCAGGAAAAGGAATACAGTTGGTCAGCCCGTTGGTACCGAACATGGTATATCCATCGGCTATTCTTGTACTGGCCATAGCCTTTTGTATTCAATGGTGAAGTGTAGTAGAACTGAAATAATGAAGTCGGGTTTTGAACTGGGGATATCTGGAGGGCCATTGAGACCAGATAATCTTTAAGCACTGGATTTCAGGATCCAATGACAAAGAGAATATCCTTAATGAAGCGTATATGAGATCTATCTTTGGCTGCATTGAATTGTGGATTGTTAAGGACTGGTCGGGCAGTCACCTGCAGGGTAGGAGGGATATGAGGAGCGAACCATACATAGTCGCCAGCCAATTGAGAGTCTGTGATCGAATTGGCATCGGCAACTCTCGATAGCGAAGTATGCCAGCATTGCAGGTAGTATTCGTGTTTCGTGCCGCCTTGGCCGTCCCGGTTCGACGAAATATAGGCTAGGGTAACTAACTACCACTGGGCCCGTGTGGATAGGTGCATCTTCGTTTGTTAGGAGCTGGCCAGATAACCTCCATATAGTCAAATGTGAAGGCGTAAAGCGTCTGGAAACAAAACAGGGTTTGCAACTGGCTTAGGGATCCGTTTATCTTTCTAGAAAGAGCGGTCTGATTGCCAGCGCCAGATGGTCTTACCGCTTCTCATGCCACAACCCTACGACTCGGTGGTGCTTACTTAGTGCTTGGTGTAATGAGCGGGCGGTACTCGATAGTTAACACTAAGCGCATCGTGCCTGCGTCTGGTTTGTTCGCCTGTTGTCAAGCGGGGACTGGTCCTTTTTATGACGCCCAACTGATGTATGTGGTCCGCGTGTGCCAACCCCCGTCCACCCCATCGGGTTTCGACAGCAGTATAACCTGACACGGACTCTCCACAATCTCCTCAGGCAGTATTGGATCATATATGCGTTGCCGGTCTTCAGGTATTCTTTTCTCAATGGGCAAAGAGGATAGCTCGGCCTCTTCTGATTCCAGGACCAACTCTGCTACTTTGCAAAAGATCCCCATGTCCCACATCCCCTCCCTTCTACGATAATCTGATAAAATCTGTATGGCTTTCCGTCGAATGATGGGGTCACGACACTTCACCGCAGTGAACCACAATGGGGCGGTAATCCCAGATTCGAGGGAAAAACCAAACGCGGGAGAGGGCTTTTCCTGATCAGGGCCCAGGCGAACTACTTCCTCCGCAAGACGGATGATTGCTTCAAAATCTGAGCGGAAGTTGTCGAAGGCCATCTGATCTGTTGCGAAACAAGCTCGCAGCCATATCAGCGAGACTTGATGATGGAGTCGGAGTGTAAGGGGGGCACGCTTATCCAACGTTTTGGAGTTCCCCCGCCGCGCCATCAGCTTGTTTAATGCCATCGTCCAAGCATCGAACTCCTCCTTTATATCTTGCTGTTTCTGTCTCTGCTGTATTCTTGTAATTTCACTTGGTGTCGGGTTCTGAAGACTTAGACGCACGAATCTCAGGGCCTTATTCATCAGTCCGTCCAGGCAGAGTCTGGCTTCTTCAATGCTGGTGAATGAGATGTTCCCCTCTGTGGGAGGAGGAAGTGCGCTTTTATGACCAATGGTCAGGGGGACTAATGGTCGCCCAAAGAGAGATAGCTGCATATTTAACCGAAAGAATAAGTGGGATAGTTCTTGGTCAATATCCATGGACTGGAGAGTTGTATTGGCAAAATGCCCCCGTTTATGGAGGATGGTCACCCCTGCTGCTAGGTGGTTCAACGCCTGTTTATTGTTCCCTCGCACAATTTCTAGGCATACAAATATACCACATGTGACCAGCAATAAATCAACCGATTGGGATTTCGGTGTGGTGAGGTGCTTCATCAGATAATGAATGGCTTTATTGTACTGCTGGAGTACAAATTGCTCCGTAACTGCCGCGCTTTCCGCTGAGGGATTCAAGATGGTCCGCTCATGGGCAGCACTAAGTGCAGCGATAGCATGTCTAATAGTCGGTTCAGACTGGCTGAGCTGGGGTAGTTGAAAATTCCAAAGCTGAGGGCTGAAGAAGCCAGAAAGAGCCTGCGACGTCTGCGAGCAGAACAATTCTACATACTGCCGCTCTTCCCTGGTTCCCGGACGGAGGATCAGGCGATGGTCAGGACTCACCATTGACCAGGCGGGTCGCGATTGACGATGTACCACTTTCGTGGATAATTGGTACTGAGGAGAAGTGTTGTAGCCATCACACTTTCGGCCAGAGTTCTTACAATGGAGGCATTCCGGCTTCTCCTCGCCGCACTTGACATGCCGTATCCTAGGGTACGGTCAGTGGTGCATGAACGTGGGTGCAACGGACATATGCCCTCTTCGGTTGGGAGGAGAAACTAACTTGCAAGTTTGGCACCCTGTTCTTGACCTGGATGCTTTCGTTTTTCTATTCTGCATTGTCATAGTGTTGAGGGGACAGCAACTCAGACGGAGGGCTCGGGAACTGAAGTCATAGGTTGAAAGGGGGGCGGATGGATTCCAATGTAGCTGTTTATAGATGGGGCTAATGCATGGCTGTGCCACTATATAATTTAGGGTTGGCCACTCCCGGGCTGGTACATACATACGACAGAGTATTAATTATGGCTTGCAACCCGGTAAGATCGTTTTTACATTTCGCGCGCTCTTTTCATTCCAGTACGGTACATTCAATTGCCCATTAGTACAACTACATGTAGATGTACGACTACCATGGTCTCTGGTAGGATAAAAAACATGAAAGGTAAGGAAAAAAGAAGAAAAAGAAGAATCCAATTACAGCCGATCTCATCATCTGAGACAAATTTTGAAAGGGTAAGTCAAGTCTCTATAGTGATGGGAAGGTGATAACATCCCGGCACGACAGGCAAAGGTAATAGACAACAAAAAGTGAGATGACAAAATTTGTATCGGATCAGTTTATCGATCACCGGATACACAAGAGAAGAAGGCGGAGGTTAAATGTAAGGATAAACGAAAAGAAACCCATAAATGAAAACAAACGCTCGTCTTCAACAGAGCAGAGCATGCGCCATCAACCATCATCCATCACCAGGTCACATAACGCCGTCCAAAGCCGGAT